TTTTATTATTGACAACTTTATTTTTTTTTTTTATTTTATTTATTCATTTAACTGGTGATTTTATTGAACAGAAAATAAGAAAATTTTTTTATTGCACGCCTCATAAGCGAAGTGTTGAGGTAGTGCTCTACTCTCGACATGCCAAAAAAAGCAGTTTTCTCGAAACTAAAATTGATTTTTTTTTTTACTTACGTCGCACTTACAGAATCATATGAGTGCACTTATATCAATTCAAATAATCTGTCAGGCACATAAAATATATTTCGATAACAATTATTTTGTTTAACATAGTAAATAATAACATTAAAAATAATCTTTCCTGGACGTCCATATGCCTGTGTTTATAGAACAGTGCGGCTGCCCAATTTTAAACCACAGTAACTGCAAAATTTTTATACCTAATTTTTTTTTAATATTGCCGATTTTTTATATCTTTAAGACCTTAATTTTAAGTATTTTATCTTATAAATATCAATATTCAAGTATTTTCTATTCATAAATCAAATTTTTCATCAATTCGTCAGGCAAACTTTTTTTTAATAAAAAAAATTTTTAAATGTTAGTTACTGTGTTTTGAAATTGGGCAGCCGAGTGTATGTGGCAGGAAAACTGGTCGAAAAAATTATCGTATCGGAATAATTTTTTTTTTATCATCTAAAGTTATACACTGCGGACTTTCTCAATTAATATGAGCATTCAATTCACTGTCGTTTATTTATTATTTATAAAAAACTAAGATAAGACTGTGTATTTGTATATCTATAAATACATTTTATTATAGAATTTTTTTCCTCACGATCGTTAAATTTATAAATTCTACTCGTCTGAGTGCACTGGCTATTCCAAAAATTAAAACTTCCTGAAATACATAATAATACACTCCGCGACAATAGTATAACCCACCCCTCGAATTTTTTTATATTTACTGTAAAACTAAATACAAGTTAATAAATTCCTAACGCGCCAGCATTGTTTTCTTGATTCTAGTACTATGGTATATATATAGTTACGTTTCGATGCTGCTTTGTTACGCAGCGGCGAAGTTATTGGTTTGATAGCGCGACAAAAGTATAACCCATTCGTCTCATTGGCTCAAGCAGCTCGGTGCACTGGACATGTCAATTCATGTTTATACTTGTTTCGTGTAACTCGTAAGTTCTTACGCATAAATAAATTGTTTAAGTTAATATTTGTCTATTTTTTATTTAAAATGCCACGGGGAAAACACTTAAACGAAACTGAAATTAATATAATTAAAAAATTGCATTCTGAAAATTATTCTAAGGCCAAAATCGCAAAAATCATCAACAGAAGTCATCGTGTTGTGCGAAATTTTTTAAAAGATCCCGACAACTATGGTAAGAGAAAACGGACAGGTCAACCGAGAGCAACTACACCACGAGAAAGAAGGTCAATTCTAAGAGTTGCGTCAAATTCTACGCTTACCGCAAGACAAATCGTAGCGGAGGCTGGTGTTAGTACTAATTTAAGAAACGTTCAACGCATTATACGTGAGTGTGAGCATTTAAAACGTAAGAAATTACCAAAAAAACCACCGTTGTCTGCTAAACATAAACTAGTTAGATTACAATTTGCAAAAGATCACGTTCAATGGAAAAAAAAAGTGGCGAAAAGTTATTTTTTCTGATGAAAAGAAGTTTAATTTGGATGGACCTGATGGTTTTAATTACTATTTTCACGATTTAAGAAAAGATAATTTTATATTGAGCCGTCGGCAAGCCGGAGGTGGTAGTGTAATGGTATGGTCTGGCATTGGATACTCAGGTAAAATGGATATTAAGTTCTGTTCTGGAAAAATAACTAGTAAACGATATATAGAAGTAATAAACGAGCAAATTAACTCTCACGCAGTGCGAATTGCTGGTCCTAATTTTATTTTTCAACAAGATAATGACAGTATCCATCGAGCAAAGGTAGTTAGAGACTACTTAAGTGAAAAAAATATTCAAGTTCTTGAATGGCCAGCATATTCTCCTGACTTGAACATAATTGAAAATTGTTGGGGAAATTTATTACGAACTGTCTATCGTGAATCAAGACAATTTACTTCTGTTGAAGAGTTAAAAAAGGTCATAGTTGACGAGTGGCAAAATATAAATCAAGACGTAATTAAAAAGCTATATGACAGTTTACCGGACCGAATGATTGAGGTGATAATCGAGCAAAGGTAGTTAGAGACTAGTTAAGTGAAAAAAATATTCAAGTTCTTGAATGGCCAGCATATTCTCCTGACTTGAACATAATTGAAAATTGTTGGGGAAATTTATTACGAACTGTCTATCGTGAATCAAGACAATTTACTTCTGTTGAAGAGTTAAAAAAGGTCATAGTTGACGAGTGGCAAAATATAAATCAAGACGTAATTAAAAAGCTATATGACAGTTTACCGGACCGAATGATTGAGGTGATAAGTAAAAGTGGTGGATCTACTAAATATTAGATTACATGAATGATTATTGTTTGTTATATTTTTCTCGAATTTTTATTTAAATTTCATTACCTGGGTTATACTTTTGTCGCACTGCATTTGTATTTGGTTAATTATGCATTTAATAAATAGTGTATTGATAGTATAATAAACTTACTAACACCCAAATTTTGTGTATTAGTAATATATTAATATAACTATAATTCTTTATCAGATATGAAAAAATTAGGGGGGGTGGGTTATACTTTTGTCGCGGAGTGTAAATAAACAATTCAAATTAATGTGTAAGTTGCTAATTTAAAATTCAAGCCTTACTCACCTTATCGTCTAAATAAACTTTATCGGACTCAATACTTATTACATGACAAATTGAAAAAAAAAATATCACCTCAGCTAAATACAGTTAATTGTCTTTTGTTAAATCATTAACAGAAAAAAAAGAGAGAGATCTTTGCAGCTTCACTTGCTCTGACACTATTTTTGTCTTTATAATTATTAAAGTTTTGACTAATCTAAAATTTTTTGATTTAAAGAGTAGAATTAAGTCACTTGTACTATAAAATAGTGTACGGCACATGGAACTTAAGCCGATTATTGAGCTTTGTGAACTTAATGCACTCGCTTTGCTCGAGCACTAACTTCATACAGTCCCTTATATCGTAATGTACTATTGAATCAAGAAAATAATTTTGAAAAACTATATCGTCTTAATTTGAGTAGAAAAATTCTTAAACTAAGTGATTTTTCTTAGTTTAAGTAAATTGTACTTGATTCAAGACAGTGAAACTCTTCAAAATGATTTTCTTCATTCAAGAATATCTTTTTGATTCAAATTAACTTTTTTTTAGTGTAGATTTTTATCTGCATACATTGTAATTCTAAATTTATAAAAATTGGAATAAATTTAATTCTGAATATCCTTTATACGTTATGAACAATTTTATCTCGATTGAAAGCGTATTTAATTCATTGTAACTATACAGATTAAAAACTCTACATATTTATACATCCCGAAATAAAACTTCTGAAGTAGAGATTACAAAAATTTTTTCCGTTTTTCAAACACTTTAATAAATATTAATATATAAAATGGATAATAAATATACCGGATAAAATTTTGTACACACGTTTTATCTAGTGTAAATTTTAACTCGCAACACACGAACAAGCCTGGAGTTTCTCACGCGAGACAATCTATATGTACCCACACGCACACATACATACATCCATTCGTCTACCCGGCCTACATCCAGCTCGTTCCAATTTTAACCCCCCATTGACCACTTAACATTATTATTCATAGTTTCATGAATTTTAATTTTACGCTCGCAGAATTGGTTGTTATATTTTGCATATTTTCAATCCTCCATCTCCGTCAAAAAAGGTTACAAAAATAAAAAAATCCATTTTATTTTGTTTCGCACACTATTTTTCAGGCTGTTCTATTTTTTCCTTTAACCATTATCTTATACACACGGCATGAGGGTATGCGAATCCACTTGATCCATACAATCCGAGTGTACTTTCACCGATTACACTCCAAATTGCGGAAAGGATTTAAAAAGCTTACTATGCCACAAAAAGTTACCGTCATCTATAAAAGCTGGCGTATGCGCCCACATATGTGCTCCACTGGTGTATGTTGAACAGAACACCGGACAGTGATTAATTTAACGCTCCATTGATATCTACAAATATAAATAAGCTAAGCGGATAAACATAAAAACAAAATGTTAAATGCTCAAGTGATTTTTTACCCACAATTCTATGATTGATTTATTTTTACGGTAAATCTCTTTGAGACTGAAGAGTACTATCTATTCTAAGTTCTTGGATGGTGGCCAATTATCATTTTAAAGCCTTGTGATCTTGGGGATCGATTTCTTGAATAGAGTAATAGCTTTTAGAGTTACAATTATCGAGTCCCTTTCTATTTGAAAATTACTTTGTTCAAAAATTTCATGAACTCTCGAATAATTTTGAAGAATGATAAATACATTATTTAAGAGGTAGCTCAAAGTTCATTAAAGCTTTTATTAAGTTGTAATTTACGTCTGATCATTTTCCAAATTATTCTACAGCTTTTAAAATTTAAGAAACTATGGACAAATGGTTACTTTGGTTACTTAAGCTATCATTTCTGTTCACGACTCTAGAGATAGATTCGAAAATTTTCAGTTTTATAAAGCAGACATCTATAAAGACATTGACTCGTCCAGCATTGATCATCAGTATCTCAATCATTATTCAAGCAACAAAATTCATTTGTGATGCTAATTAGTCGCTCTAATTAGAATTTTGTTGCTCACTGAAAAAAAAAAAGTTTTTATTTCATTATTATTTCGTAATTAAATGAGCATTATGAGTCGTGCAGTTTTGGATTTTTCAAACTTTTAAAATATTTTTAGTATAATTTCACTTAAATTCGACAAAAAAAATTTGTCCAACAAAGATAACCAATTTTTACTGTGACTATACTCGATCTACATAACAATTTAGCAGCACGCATTGAGATTGTTAGTAACACTAGATTTTCTTATGTCCGTTTCAGCTGTCGGAGGACATTGGATATGTGCTCTATTCAGCACTTGGAAGCTTCTACATCCCTTCATGCATAATGGTGTTCGTATACATACGCATATATTTTGCGGCAAAAGCGAGGGCGAGAAGAGGAATACGGAAGAAACCAAGACCGCAGCCAGTGGCACCACCCGAGTCACCGGATATCCGGCAGACAAGCTTCACTCAGTCTACTTCGGCAACTGAGCCTAGGCTGGCTCACGGCATCAATACTCTAGAAAATGTAGCGACCATCGAGAATCAACCAGTACAAATTCCCATCGTCACTTGTGACTTCGCAAGTGATGTAAGTACTTCCGAAGCCGATCCTGGGGGTGGATCTACTACCGATGAAAAAGATACGCTCAAGGTAATTAATTAACCGCATGAGTTGCATAAATTTATATTTACCCGTTTGTAACAAATAGCGCTCTATAAATAACTTATTTATTACCTTAATAATATCACAATGACTCTGCTATATTGCGCTGCGTCTCAGCACAAAAAAATTTTCACTATAACAGACTTCCGGATACAGGACAATTTGCCACGCTTTCAAGAAAATGTTTTTTTTTTTCTTTTTATAATTTATTTTAACGCGAAAATCAAGCATTTTAAGAAATTACGAAACCAGATTTTATTTTTTTACGAATTTTTTACAGTTGAACTGGTTTTTTAAAAATTCGCTTTAGAATTTTGTCAAAGAAAAATAAAGATAAAAATAATAAATAAAGAAATATAATCGGTTAAATAGAGTCACTTCGAGTAAGTGTGCTTAACCCCTTTATTTATGAATAGGGAGGGGGAAGTTCGTGATATGGACAAACAAATTAAAACCTCTTTATTGGCCTGATCATATTAATAAACAATATAATCAGTATAAACAATGCATTAGAACACTCTATTCACATATATTCGCGGTTCCAAATTAATAACGTGGTTAAAAATCAATAAACAATATAAACAATGTAAGCAATATAAACTAATACAATAGAACATTCTATCCAAATATACACGATGGTATTCGCGGTTCGAACTCAAAAACGCGGTCTACAAAACAAACTAGTTCCCCAATAACACCCCCCCCTCCCCAGGGTGACTAGTCGTCAGCCCTGAGGGCCCTAAACTCTACCCCGAGAGCGAGTGGAGAGTTTCCTCCTCGCCCCCAACCTACACGGCTTATGATCACCTACCGTACCTCAGCTGAAGGCCTCGGCACGGTGAGTCGCACTTTCATCCGGTCGGTCCCCGATACTTACCTAGGCCTTGGTCAGACTCCAGGTAGAGTATCATCCTCTCGAATTACTTGGTGAATAGTCATCAACCGAGTAATTCTCCCGAGAAAGAATTGCTCATCTAAATTTATTTTCAAAATGGAACTTAACATATTTTTGATATGACGTCATAAATACTATCAACTAACTTTCTCACAGTTTTTAAGTGTACTATCTTAAAAAAAACAAATGGAATAAAAAAAATAAAAATTTTTGTTACAATTGCATCACCTCTCCCCTACTGAAAGTCTGATCCTAGACTACAATGTGACAATTGTAATTTTTTCTAAAATTTTTTTTTCTTCCATGTAATTCAGTAATTTTTCTCATGAATCTGAAAGTAAATCTTAAAGAAAATTTCTTTTTGTGTAATAATTTTAGGTTTCACTTGACTAAATATACACTTTCAAACTCTACGCAGAAAAAAAATTTACTTGAATCAAGTAAATAATTTTGAAGAATTTCATCTTCTTGATTTGAGTAAAAAAGTTCTTAATTTAAGAAATTTTTCTTGGTTTAAGTAAATTTTACTTAATTCAAAAATTTTTCATCTTGTTTCAAGACACTCAAACTCTTTAAAATTATTTTCTTGGTTCAAGAATTTTTCTCTTGATTCAAGTTAATTTTTTTTCAGTGTAAAATTTACTAAAATAAGTTATTTATTTATAAAAATATTTTCTTTTTTCTGTTGCTACAGGTGTCAGTGGCACTGCCACTGCAGAAGACAAATCTAAAGGCAACATTGTCGGTGAACGGAAATGAGGGTCACTCAGGTCTAACAACGTCATCGATGACCATCAGTGTCCCACAGACATTACGTTGCCGTGCCCCGAGTGTCGGGATTGACGTTGATATGGTGTCAGAATTCGATCCATCGTCGTCAGACAGCGGTGTCGTGTCCCGCTGTGCAGTTGTAAAACCACTTAAATTACGTTTGTGCCGACCAATATTTGGTCGCAAAGCCATGGGTAAAGTAAAGCGTGATAATAACAGTGATGCATCCTCATCGCGTAACAATAATATGTCGGGCAATAACAATAGTCGGGATTGTGGGACACCAGTCGGAGTTTTGAAGCCAGTTAAGCCGCGGGATCCAGAAAGGGAGAAACGTCGTATCGCACGAAAAAAGGAGAAACGTGCAACATTGATTCTTGGTTTGATAATGGGCAGTTTTATTGCTTGTTGGTTACCATTTTTCTTTTTATATATTGTTAAACCATTGTTCCCATTTTTATCTATTCCTGGACAAACATTTGTAATTGCGTTCTGGCTCGGTTACATGAATTCCGCCCTCAATCCAGTCATTTATACAGTATTCAATAAAGACTTTCGTCGTGCGTTTCGTAGGATACTTTATAAATAAATTCATTTTAATGTTGGATTATTTAACGTGTTCTGATAGAAAAATTTATTTTTTATTGATAAAATTCATTTATTATTAATTAATTAACTTTTGTACGAAAAAAAAATATGATATCTTACCCTAAAAAATTTTTTTTAAACCGAAATTTTTTCAAATCTAGAAAAAATTTTCTTGAATTTTGTTATCTTGGTATCAAGGTTCTCAAAAAAAAAAAAAAAAATTGAGTAAAATTATTTTAGAATCATTTTTTATTTTACAGCATTTTAAAAATTACAGAAAAGGTGAAAATTATTTCTGCTTCCTTGATTTTTTTATTCTTTTGACAATTGGTTTAAGAATTTTCTGATTTTTCGTCTAGGAATTCTTAAATTAATCAGTGCAAGTTTTTTTTTTTTTTCAATTAAAAAATAAAACATTTTTGAACCAAGTGTTCCAAATTAAAGATAAAAATTTTCTTAATTCAAAAATTAGTTTTTTCTGTGTAAAAAAAATGTTGACAGAATTCATGTAAATGTGAATGTATGACCTCATGTTTGCGATTCGGAAACCCCTCAGATTAAAATAAATTAATAGAATTCGTCTTAATTTACATACCAGATAAATATTTCCCAAAGCCAAGGGGGTGTTCCAGGGCAAAATGCCAAAAGGACGTAAAAATTTTTTTCTACTTACAATAATTCTAAATGCAGAGTCTTTTGCATAACTCTTAAAGGCAAAAGGGCGTAGTCCAAAAAGTAACTTATGGTTTCTGAAAAATGAGCTTACAGAAAAAATTGGTTAAATTTAGAAGAGTAAATTCTAAATTTGAGCCACTAAAACTTTGTCTATAAAAAACAAACAAATCTTTCTATCAGACACTATAAATTCGACTGACTTTATTTTTACACTGTTGTCATTGTAATTGTATAATTATTACTATTATAAATTATAACAACTTCAGAAGTAGTTTAAACTATTGTACAAGCGTGAGGGTTCTAAGGAGTTTATAAATGGAAAAGATAATATATTATTTTAAATGTAAATTAAAATTAGAACATGATCTTGATCTTGATTTTGCTGTTGTTTTGGTCTTTGTTTTGGTCTCGAGTTTTAGTTTAAGTTTGAGTACTCTAGTGTAATTATTTGGTGAGTCTTAAGGACTTGGGCGATGAAAACTTGAGGACATGGGTCTTGTTAATGTTAAATAACTTTAGAATGATGTAAATTTCTCAAGGGCCCTTGCGCTAATCGACATTATAATTCATAGCGTTAACTCGGTACTGGAATTGAACATAAGCTTATCAGCTGGATAATATGATTATATCAGCCCTGATTACTACCATTATTTTTATCTTCATCATCATTGACGATAAATTTTTTTTTCAAATTTATAATTTCATAAAATTCGAGAAGAAAATAGTGAACCTGGGGCTCTCAAATAAAAAAGGATAAATTAAATTTAGAGATAGTATATACAAACTAGGAAATGTGTACCGAAAGGTCAGGAATTAAAATAGAGGAATAAAGCACTTTAATATGTCGGAAGGTACTGCAGTTTATATTTAGGATGAATAAAACAAAAAAAAATGTGATTTTTAGTTTAAGCTCCAGCTTCAGTTTTAGTTTATAAATTTATTTATGTATTTACATATATGGAAGTATGTACATCCATAAATGCATGTTCGTACAGAATAAGCATGATATTGTGCACTAGGAATTTCATGTTGAGAACACGCGGTCGCACGTACGGAATTTTAAAAAACGTTTTCATTGGTCGTAGAATAAAAACAACATATTTTTAATATACTTGCTATTCTCAACACGGATATACTTTTTATTTGTTTAAATAAGGATGAGTATATAAAATGCTTCAGTTATAAATCGTACTTGCCTGCAGCATGCAGATATGAGACGATATAAGATCTCGGAAAATTTTCTTAAGTGTTTCTTTATTTCAATATGGATATTTTTATGCATTATTGATTTTGATATTATTCACGAGGTAATTTTATAATGAAGAGAAACCTTAGGAAACTTTTAAAAATTTTATTTTGTTCAGATTAAAATTTTTTAGCAAAGTTGTGTGATGGTATAAGTGATCATATATGACCTCGAGTGACTGTATGGATGATCATGCATAGAGATACATGATCATAAATGACCACCGGCATGATCATACATGACTATATGTGATTCTACATGATCATATGTAATCGTATGTGATCAGAGTGATCATGCAGTCTCATGTTATCATGTGTGACCATATGTTTGACTATGAATATATATATCTAATCATATGTGGCCGTATGGATGATCATACATGACTATGTGACCGTACATGTGATCTTACAAGATCATATGTGGCTATATGTGCTTTAACATGCTCATATGTAATTGTATATGGTCAGAGTGATCATACACGACACCATGTTATCATGTGTGGTCATATGTTTGACAATATATCGAGATGTATGACCATATGTGACCATATAAGTAATCACACATGGATATATGTGACCACGCATGACCAGATCCTTGATCATACATATGGTCATATATGATCCATATCGTCCCGTTTCTAGGTAAACCACGTATCTGTCAAATGGCAATTTTCGGGAAACCATCAAAAACTTCTAATGAAGTGCTAAAAAATGTTTTTAACCCGTTGAGGTCAATATGGGTCTAAATGACCCAAGGCAATTTTTGAGTTACTTTTGCTTCAAAGATACACGGAAAAAAGTAAACTGTAATAAATAACAGTCGATTTATAATAAGTAATGATCAACTGCTTAAAATTACCATTTCAAACAGTAAAATCGTGATTTTACTATTCACATTGTAATATTTACAATTTAAACGTTACAATTTACTCTTTACATGGAAGAAAATACTATTTCAAACAGTAATATTCGCTATGTAAATGTCTAAAATGTTAAAGTATAATAATTAACAATTCAGACTTTAATATTTATCATTTCGTACCTAAAAAATGATCTTATGATATGTAAAAAGTATAAAATAAAGTTAGTAAATTTTTAATACAAGCAACGTCAATATTTACAAAGTAAAATGGTAAATTTTAAACGCAACGCTAAAAATCAAACTGTAATTATTGACTTGCTTAGACTGGTAAAATGTATATTTTAAAAGTATAATTTTTACTGTTTAAAATGTTAAATTCTCCCAGAGTGAGACCCCCTTCTCTTTCATCTGAGTTCCTCTTCTCTTCATAATATGGACTATATATTGAAATGGCAATTTTTACTGTTTGAAACTGTAATTTTTAAAGATGAAAGAATGGTTATTTACTATAGTGACAACTACTAATCACTTATTTTGGATATTAAATTATAAATTGTGGCTTTTATACTTTCTACATTAAGTTCTGTAATATTTACATTTTTGCCACCCCGATGTCCGCTTTACTGTTTGAAACTATAAAAACTAACCGGAATCCGAGTGAATATTACAGTTTACTTTTTTCCGTGTATCATTCAAAATGGTATCTGAGGTACCATCTATTATTGTTTGAAGATTTTTTGAGATTCATGGAAATTTACGATTTTAATTGCACAAATCAATATACTTTTTGAAAAGCTCGATATAATACCATTTTTTTTTCATAGTATGCGATATTCGTAGTAGAACCCCGGGGGTCATTTTCATTTATCTTAAAAAATGAAGTTTTCAGTGAAAAAAGTCAAATTTTTCGAAATTAGACTTTCTCGCATTTTTTTTTATAATTAAAAAAAAAATCTTAAAAACGATTGAGTTATTCAACGGGAGTGTTAAGAATTACTCACATGTGCGGCTCGAGTGAAAATATTGACAAGAACGCAAGTAGCAACAATTTTTTCCGTGCATGGGGTCAATTAGACCCAGTATGACCACTACGTTATTTTTAAAAAGTGTGACCTCAACGGGTTAACTATTAATATCAATTTCGAAAAAAATGTAGTTACGTGGTTCACGTAGAAAGGAGACTATATGTGACCATATGTGTGATTATGTAGAGTACTATTTTATTCTAAATTCGGGAAAATTTACTATGTACCAGGCTAATTATTAATTATTAATTAATGCTGTGAATAAAATCCTTTTCATTATTTAAATATATTTTAATTAAACCAATTTTATAAGTACGATCATATGTTCGTACTATAGTAATCTACTGTCTTCGTAATATAATTAAGTGATGTAGAAATAACTCATAAATTTACTTTTCCGATTTGTTTAACTAGAATCCAAAGTTATATATAAAATAATTTACTCTCCACATTAACTCAACATTTCTGACTAAAATGTAAGCAAGAAATCAAATTAAATGGTTAATTAAACATTAACAGGTATATTTTACCTCTGTAATCTAAAGTAGTAAGCAGAGTTACATGAAACTCGCACTAGCGCTTCCGAGACGTGTAATGTGATGCTTGTAAACATTTAAGCATCCTGTTGCATGGAAACCTCCTATACTACAGATCATAAAAATTTTTTATGCATTAATGTATGTTTTTATAGCCGAAACCGAATTACGAACGTTTCGAGAGATAAACTGAGTAAATTTTAAACGAGTTGTAAACTTGTCGTGCAACACAAACCACTTTTATATTACATATTTATTGAGAGTCGTAAAATTTTAATTATTTTTTACATGCTATAAAATACATTCAATTTTCTAAACAATTGATTGATTTAATAGATGCTATGTTAAATACAGCTTGTTTGATAATCTTTATTTTACAAACATCATCAAAAATAATTTGCTCATCTTGAATTGTTAAACAATGTTATTGAGGATATCAAACAATGAGTTAATTAGCATAATGTTTATACGGTCATATTAACTCTAAGTAAACACAAACATTCATAAGCAAATACTAGCTTCACTAATACATTACTAATTAATTAAATCATAGTTATAGTAATAGTTATCTATTTACCATTATATACATACATATATTATGTAGACATATTCATGCGAATTATATAATGTACTTGATCATTCCAGGTCAAATATACAG